GACAAATGAAATAACTATTGTTGTAGTGAATATATCAAAATTTCTTTTAAAATGAATTTATACTTCTTTGCACTACAAACACCACATTTCTTTTTTTACCTAATGGTTATACTTTTTACCATTTTTACGTCCGTACGTACATTTGGACGATCATTTTTAAATCTTGCTAAAATAATTGAGTATATTATTATGAAATGTATGTGTCACACAAAAATATTAAACCAAATGTAAATTACAAAAAAACTTACAATATAAAACATTATCCAATAAATTTATTAGGGACTTTGTTGAATAGGGCCCATGCTTTTCTTTTTAGACAAAAATTAAAGATGTTTAACAATATTTAAAATTGTAGTTAATTTTCGGTTGTTTTCAAAGTAATTGACATTTTAAATAAAATGTGTTACAAATAATGGGTAAATTGTTCTTAAAATAAAATTATTTTACTTTTTAGTTTTTAGTTCACTTTTTACTATTTTTTAGGATAGCATGTTTTTTTATGAGCTATAAATTTATGTATACTGAAAATGTAACTTAGATGTTTTTGTATTTTGGCCACAAAAAATGTAAAATTGTACGTCATCTTGACCCATTAAATCCGAAGTTATTTTTTTTTACAGTTATGATTAAGATTGCCCGCTAGATCGCGACACACGCACAAATTTTGATCTTTTTAAACTTCTTTATAAGAGCCTTGATTGATGATGTGGTCACTCTCCTGCTCTCCAAGGAGAGTTCTCCAGGAGGTTTGCCTTAGCCTCTGCCTGGATCAGACTCTTCAGAGCCGTCGCTTTGTCCATTTTGCCCTTGATAATCTTATATGTGTAAGCAAATTGTAGCGAAATAATAATATTATATAACGATGTCATTGGATTTTTAATCGATTTCATCTTAGCAGACAGCACATTAACAGTTTCTTCACTATTGTCTAAGACTCCAAAATTTGTAATCAGGATTTCCATAATTTCTTTGTCTTCTATTATGTTATTTAAATATAGCCGGTCGAAATCAAAGTCTTCAACATAACCGATTTTTAATGGCTGCCGTTTACAGAAATTTGTAAGCTCATTTAGCGCTAAAGTACGATCTAACATGAATACACTTTTATGCATTTCATTTGATTTCAGGGCTATACTACAGTCCAATGGCACAGCGTCTCGTACATAGTCTAAAACATTACCATAAAGTGTTTCCATTTCAGAAATTCTTTTCTCATTAATACCTATTTTCTCCAATTGTTTCATTTGGTATGTATAAAAATGAAATACCCAAGTAAAATGTGTAAATGTTGACTCTTTAAAGTAATTTGTATTGATTCTTGCTTTCAACATATTTTGTTCCCACTTTTGACATGCACTTTCAATGGTAGCCCTAATGTTATCATCATTTCCGTAATTTTTTGGTTGTCTCAAGTACATAAAAACCAACATATTGTACGTGAAATGACATTTAATGTTTCTACATGAACTTGTGATGCAATCTATTATTTTTTTTTCGGGATAATGATTTAGTTGATGTTTGATATAAATTAACAATTCAAATTTTGTATATATACTTGTTCATAGTCATTTTTCACTTCAGTATACCACTGTGTCAAATCCGCCATATGATAGTTACAATTAGCAAAGTTTAGTAGTATTATCGTCATCAAAATTATAATGTGTTTCATTTTAAAACACTACTTCTTAAAATTTTAAAACTTATTTTATCACGTATAACTTTGTACCTACACAACAGATTCAGCACGACTTTTCAACTGCAGCTAGATTTAGTCAATGTTCAATGTTCCGACTATGACATATTTTCTTCTCATCATTTTACCAAAATATGCACAGAAACGAAAAAAAAATGTGTATATGGCCTCATCTGTGTTTAAACTATAGTGAAATGTTTACCTTATAACAATTTTAAAAAAAAAAATGTTTGTTGACAAAACATATTAAACAGAAACACTTAATATTAAAATGGATATGTTTTAGGGATAGTAGGCAGGTTCCTAGTTAAAAGATTAAATGTAAGATAATAATTAAGTGTGGTGATGGTGTGACATTTTTATTAAAGATCACATTCCTGGAAATAGTACGTTATGTTAGAAAACAAAACCATAGAATGCAAAACAAACTATATCCATCGATATACAAACAATTAATACCGAATAAAATATTAAAAATATCAAACATCTTAAAATTAAAAAAACTAAGATAATGAAAACAGCATTAGGACTCATCTACTTAAAATTTGTTATTGTTAACAGGAGTTTGAGTATGACATTTAATCTGATTCCAATTGGGTATGCCTTAACCCCCTCCCCCCAACGTTTGTTTAGAAACATTTCAATGCTGGATTGAAGTTTTAATAAGTTTACTTAGTTGATTTATATAGTTATGTGTGTGTGCTTGCAACTTCTATGGTAATTTGCATATTAACATTGTGCGAGAAACGCCTTTATAGTAATTGGATATTGATTTATAATATATTCGTCATTGTTTATGTGTTGTGCAATGAACGAGAACTTCTTGTCGCAGTAATTTAAAATCTTATGATCTCATCACAACTGGTAACTGGTAAGTCTTAATAATATGTTAAATATAACTGATAACGGCTTCTGATAGGAGACAGTTTATAAGAGATCAGTTTAGTTTAGGTTAGGAGAGTGTAGTGGAGGGGAAGGCTATCGGATAGGTCCACGAGGGAAGAAAAAAAGTGATGGGACGATCGTGGGCTAGGTCTGAGAGAGGAAAAAATACACATATTGTTATCCATGTATTAATCACATATCAGTATTTGAAATTTTTTTTAAATTTTGTTTCCCACCAATAATTACTCGTGAATAAGCCATTTTATCGATACAATCTGCAGTCCGTACCGTATCTTATATTTTAATAACATAATAATATATTATATCCATCATTTACAATATAGCATCATGCCACAGTGCCATCATACGCGTTTGTTGGAAAACTTTGTTTGTTTTCTTTCAGTATTCTCAATGTGATTGAAATCTTATATAATGGACAAATTTTATTAGCGATTCATCGTATTCGGCATAACATCTTGTATTATAATATTATAGTATTATTAAATCGTTTAAATCCAAACAATTTGTCGAATAATAGCAGATATCAAATCAACAATGCCTATTATTATTATGTACCTGTCGACCGTCGGCCATCTTATAACAGCGTTAATTTATGGTCGAATACATGAAACATGTTGAAAGTGTAATCCTTTCTGCCATCGTAGTCACAAAATACGCTAAATTGTCGAAATTTGCCGTTTTTGAACAATAATATTGTAAAAACTACTGGTTAAAAATTCAAAATTTGAACACGATTATTTAAAAAAAAAAATAATCTAACAGAATATCAAAAAAACAAGGAGGTTCCCATTTAAATTTTAAAAGTTGATATCATTCATACGCAAACCAATTCAGGTAAGTTACACCTAATAACATTCAAAAGTCAAAAGTAAAAAAAAAATCAAAAGTGGCTCTGAAAATCAAGGGACTCCAAACTTTTTTAATACCCTGTGCATTTTTGTTAATAAGAAAGGCATTCCGTTGTACGGCTAATCGCTTACAAAGGTGGGCATATATTTTATCATCTTTTGATTTTGAAATTAAATACACCAAATTTGAAAATAATGCGGCTGATTATTTTTCCCAAATAAAATTTGGCCAAAGTATAACAACCAATACAATAATTCTTATAAAATTGAATATTCTAATCTGTTGATACTGTGCTCCTCATTGGTAATCAATCTAGGCCATACAAATAAATTACAGTCGCAATAAAACCATAGGTACGCAATAACAATAATAATAATTCTTAAGCAACATTTGTGTTTATAATCGTCAGTAAGACCGTATATTTTAGAAAAACATTTTATTAATTGACAATTCAGATGTTATTAAAGAAATAACTAATTAATTAATACTTAACAATTAGGTAGTAATTAAGGTAATAAAAAAATTAGGAAATAACTAGGGTTATATTAAACAGGTTCAAGTTATTAATAGAGTTTCCAGTCGACATTAATACATTAGCATTTATATATAATTTGTATTGATATTAGATACATTTATAGGATAAAAATTTTAGAAAATTATTTTGGATACAAGATAGACTCTGGTTTTGACAAATACTATCATAATTCCAAAGCAAAAAGACATATTCAATGCGGGAATACACTAATGAATAATACAAAATTTTTAATGCACAAGAATCATTGAAATCACTACACATATGTTTTAATAATCATAGTTTCATAAATGACTTATTATAAATAAAATCAACATGATTATTGAAAGATAGTTTTGTGTCAAAGAAAACTCCTAGGTCTTTAGTAATAATATTACGTGCTATTTTTGTATTATTAACTGCATAATTAAAATAAAGAGTGTTTTTTTTAAAGAATAAGACATAATGGAACATTTATCAATAATTAAAGACATTCCATTATTGCTGCACCATTTATCAGCAAATAACAGAAATTTCGAGTAATTCAGAACTTTGCTAATATAATCATTTATAAATAAAGAAAAAATTGTGGGAGATAAGTGATATCCTTGGGGTACATCAGATAGAACATTTATTTAATTAGATATAAAAATGTTATATTTTACAAATTGGACACGATTGATTAGGTATATTAAACATAATCAAATTGCGAGAACGTAGTTGTCTATCTAACACTTAAGCAACTAAATCATTCTCATTAGAAATTAGAGATATTAAGATACTACTTTTTTTTCAAGTGCATTAAATTAATCTTTTAAAATTTTGTTTTCCTCAGTTAAAACCGACATAATTTTTAATAAGTCATCAATTATTTTATTGAATTTGTTTTAACCATTACTAGTATTATTCACTGTAGAGATTATTTTACCTTAGATATTTTTTATAATAATATAATATAATAACTAAATAAATAGTTGTTTGTGAAGCGATTTTATATATTTTTAATAGTTAACTAACTACAAAAATGATTTAAATACTATATAATTTTAGAACAAAAGTACATTTAATTACTGTTCAAAATTGTTATACTCTAAAATATTCCTCCTGTAGTTGTACAGTTAGCTCTTTAATTTGTATATCATTATCATTAACGTCCACTTGCCAAATTTTGTCCTGAATGGATCTGTATTGTATATTATGATCAGTTTTATATTCTATGATACAATCACCACGTTTATATTCTGCAGGTGTTTTCAATACAGTTTTTGTACTAATCCACAATGCTATCAAATAACATATCATTTTATCCATAGCTTCATTTTCAGCTAAAAAATTATAAAATAATATTTTTTCTTAAAAATTATCAAATTTATAGTTTAGTAGCATCTATTTTTCTATATTCTGCAAGAAACCATTACTACACGTGTATAAAATCAGTACCTAATACAATAAATATACAAACGGTGTCCTCATCTGACAGCCCAGTCACAACAGCTTTTTTAAATGACAGGCACGCGTTAGTTTAGACAAACATGTGTTGTGTGAGTTTTATAATATTATTATAATAAAATAATTGAACTAGTATGTCTGTAAAATATGCATTTTTAGATAAGAAATAAAAGATTAGATTTAATAGATTTAAGTTAAGAAATTAAAGATACTGTATTAGAAATACGAGGTTAGAAATAGTTGAATAGAGATAAGGGATTGATTATACGAGATTAAAGAGAAAATATTAGAGATACCAGATTAAAATGAATTGATTAGAGTAAATAGATCAGATTAGAGAAAATATATCCAGAGGGGAAAGAGGATAGGACGAAATTTAAGAGTAGGATACAGAAAAATGGGGAATAGGATAGAAAACTCTTCCCCTCCCATTATCCCTTATCGGCTGATCCCTTTCTCCTATTCTTTCTCTCCCTGTCAACATGCTTGAAGCGATCCGAAAGTTAAGTTTTAAATTTAACTAATAGGTTAAAAGGTTTTTTGGCGTGAGTGTCTAGATCGTTTGGTTTTGCACAGGTGGACTCTCCTACTTCCAATAGAGCTATTTACATCACTACACACACACGCAGCTGACCAGTTGGGTTGGCAGGTAGCGCTATCGGGTAAAGCGGCTTATTTTTATCCGCCCCCGGCGCAAACACTATAACGCTCTCCACCTTCTATTCTAGGATCTAAACTTGAGTAAAATTACTTTAAAAGTAATTAATCATAATTAGTTATGGACTAATCAAAATTTTCAGAAAATTATTATTGTTGCTAGAGCTCAGGATAAATTTAAAAACATATTTTAAATATTGTGTTGTATTGTAAAATAACGAAAACTAATGTGTCTCTTAAAAGAAAAACCACAAAATTGCAATTAGTTAAAAACAATTGATTATGATATCCATAATCAATCAAACTGTAAAAAATATATGTTGTAAAAAAGTAATACTATTATAACTCTGTAATTATATTCACCTAATTTTCGAGCAATTATATTTTTTAAAGCTTTCTCAACAAAACGTCTTCTCGCTTCTCCAAGTGGTTCCAAACGTTGAATCTTCGTACCTTCATAAATTTATAAATATAACAGGTTTGATGATTAATATTTATTATTATATATTTTGTACTTATGTATTTTAACAATACAGTGATAGCAATACGTGTTTAAAAATTAAATTATTTATAATTATTCCAAGTGTTTAATTAGCTTACTTTGTGTGTAATATATTATGTATTTCGCGCGTGGATCGCGGATATGTATTGAGGAGTATATACAAAGAGTGGTTATGCAAAATTTTCCATTGGTTAGCGGCTTTGTTAAGCTGGTATCTGATTTCCTTACGTTCCTCTGCGAAGCTAACAACAGTTTACTAGGAACGTAAGAGGTATTCGAGCATCAAAATAGTCTACGACGAATACGATATTGTTAATGATGACTCTGTTGGACCGTATCTAATAACGTTAGACTCTATAGATCAGTCCATGAAAAACATAGTAATTGATAATAGTCCTGTGCCCAAAGGAGTGATCATGCGAACTCTAAGGCAAGTCAAAGCAGCCCCAGCCATCTTCAATATTGCAAAAATCATGTTTTCCTGGAACCATGCTATTAAAAAACTTAGGACCGGGAGAACAGTTCTTCTATATAAAGATAAAGGGGATCCAGCAGACATAAAAAATTGGCGCCACAAAACGATTTTCAGTTTGGTAAGACGTACGAGAGAAGCCTAGATCATGAACTTCGTTTCCGCGTTTCATTCTCCTGCGTACACATGGATTCGTGTCAGGTGTCGCGAAAGCTCATGTTAATACATTGCTGGTTGACGGCTGCTTCCGTGTCGCTGAAACTAATAAAACCAATTGTTGCGTGGTGATGTTAGATCTTACAAAGACATTCGACACAATTGGCCACAACATAACACACATTTCAGTCATTACCAGTTCCGTCTTCACTGCATAGCTTGGTAATCACACTTATAACCACCAGCTCAACAAAAATAAATGACGACCAAAAGTCATCTAAAAGTATTTTTATAAATCTCGGAGTCCCACAAAGATCTCCTTTATCTTGAAACTAATCACTGACAACTCCCGAGTTAGAGAGTATTATTGCAATGTCCATTGCCGACGACAAAGTTATAGTCGCCAAGGACGCAGCCAGCGCAGTGACAGTTGTTGACATAATGAATCAAAAGTACGGTAAAATGGCAATGCATGTTAACCCATTTAAATCTTTCTGCATTAATGTACAAAAAGGTCAGCTGATGCATGAAGACACTACAGTTCTTGACGGATCCGGAATATTGTCGCTACACGAGGGAGAAAATATCAAATACCTGGCAGTCAACTTTAGCGGCCAAATTGTGTTCAATCGAAAAAGATTTTAGAAACTTGGCACCATCGCCTCGTTTACGCGGGGATCAAAAAATCAACATATTAGACCAATATGTTTATCTCAAGTTAGTATATCCATTGCAAACAGTCCCAATAGACATTTTGGACCAACCATTTCTGGAGCGAGTGCTATTCTAGTAAGACAAGGCGTACATGAGATTTGCAGTCTTCCCTTGGATACGCCACTCCCCGTGTTCTATACCAGTTAGTCCAACACATCACTATTTCCCAGAGATGTCGTCAGTTCACGATGGATACTTCCATGCCATCCGTGACGTGAAGGATGAAGAAATTCTTTGCCGCACTCACCTCGGTAGTGTAATAGACTCAAACGCGAGGGCAATGAGGACAGAGCTTAGGCTAGCAGAGTTTAAATTGTTTAAAATGGACGGAATTGTGCCAACGATGGATCAGAACTAAATGGTATAAATGTTGCACCTTAATCAAGGCTTGGGTATCAAATAAGAAAGGTCTGACTAGTGCAGAATAGATGGCAATAATTATGTCTATGAACTCAATGGCCAATAGACGTACAGGAGGTCGTGGTGTTAGTAGTCGCCACTGCAGGTTTCCAGTCTGTAATGAGAATAATATAATTAAAACACCTTCGGAACCTAGCAAACCATAAAGTGCACCACTCGTTATAACCACTCGTGAACCTGTTTTAGAGAAAAGGCTTTGAAGCCTATGAAGAGGTGCATTACGAGATCCATGAAAGGAACATCACTAAAAATAGAAGGGTGGATATTATTGTCCTTGATAGCATTATGGGTAGAAGTCTGATTCTGGATCTCACCAAACGATGGGAAATTAATGATGACAGACAAGACATATCAATATACGAAGAGAAAAAAACAATTTATACTCCATGCATACCATACCTAGCAGAACATTATAACATAACCCAATGGGAAGTTACTGGATTGTGGATTGGAACCGGAGGAACGGTTTCGTCTCTGCTAGTCTCATTCTTCAAAGCGAATGGTCTAGCAGTCGAAGAACTGCGAAAGATATGTCTTTTAATACTGAATGACACTCTATATATTATTAATTTCCAGATCTACTCCGTTTAAATGTTTTAAGTGTGATAATTATTTATTTGTTTACTTATTTATTTAATTATTTATGTTAATTTGTATTAATATTATTATCATCGTTGTTAGCAAAATCCTAATGTCATGTACTATTGTTTACATCAGTATGCTGTGTCACCAATGGCATCCTATGATTACTAGGCAGCTCGCTCGAATTTTTATTAAAATAAAGTTGAGTCTCATTATATATATAAATAATTTCTAACGGTAAAAATAAATATATGTTTAATATGAGTTGTGTAAGTTCTGTTATTTTAAATGTATAATTTATATATATTTAAAAAACATTAAAACTCTATAATTTATATTAACACTTACTTGCATGGAAAATACTAGTTTTTAATTGTTGTGTGGTACGAAATCTTCTCTCTTCTATAAGTTTGACCATCTTTCCAACTTCTGCAAAAATCAATAAATTATCGTGTTGATAACAAATAGTAAAAACAAAAATTATAAGTTTCTCGAAAAAAAATAGTTACGTCAAATTTCAAAGAACGATTAAAATAGTATTTTCTTTGTAAAACATGCCAATAGTATTCTTATGTTATTAAAATTATATTATAAGTGGTTTTAACAATTAAATTCGTATTTTATACTTGAAAGTGGATAACGAGAGGTTAACGTGGGGTTATAAAAAAGATATATAAAGCAAATATCAAATTGGCAAAAAGAGAAGATAATCTAATCATAATTGGTGATTGGAATGCGGTAGTAGGAGTGAGAGTGGATGGCCAAGAATTTGGAGCGAGAAACGGCAGGGGAGAGCGATTAGTAGATTTTTGTAAGCATTACGACATGTCGATAGCTAATACATATCAGAACAAACACCGAAGACGAAGAGACGAAGAGATAATTAAGATAAAATTAGAAGATGGAAATAATATATTAAAGAGCTCTACCAAGATGACGGACTCACTAATGGCCAAAACAGCGGAAATATGGATGAGCAGGGCAAAACTATTCTAAAAAACGATACCTATAACAAAGCTTTGGAGGAAATGAGAAGGAATAAAGCTCCGGGAATAGACAATATACCTATAGAACTCATCCAAAATTAAGGAAAACCAGTTAAAAAATAGCTATTTAAACTTGTGAAGGAAATATATGAATTAGGAGTATCCTTGAAGACTTCTAGAAAAATGTTATCATCCCAATACCAAAAAAGGCAACCGCAGACAAATCTGACGACTTCAGTACACTAAACCTTATGGCACACGAAGCAAACTTACTAGTAAAAATAATAACTTTCGATACCAATGACAGTGTACTTAATGAAATAGTTGAACCTAGAAGATTATAAAGGTCAATCAAAGAAAGAAAATGGAGACTAGTTGGACATACTTTAAGACACGAAGAGGCACTACACCATAGAATATTGGAAGGACAAATAGAAGGCAAGAGAGGCAGAGGACGTCCTAGAACAAATATAATCAATAAAATTATTAAAGATTCCAGACTGAGAACCTAAAGGGAACTAAAGGGGCCATAACAGAGAACTTTACCGTTTCACACCAAATTTTGATACACTTATTTTTTTACTATAGAGATTAATTTCTAATGGTGGTTGAACAAATAAAAAAATCTTTTTTTTGGGCTACCCTAGTGTAGGGAGTATGGAAGAATTTTGTAATGGTTTTACAGCATTACAGTTTTACGTTAGGGTTGATTAATAAAGAAGAAGAATATAAAGCAAATATAATTTTTGAAACAAGCCATAAGTTCTATTTACTACTAACAAATAACATTGTAGTAATTACTTTTGTTTTCAGCATCAAAAAAAGAAACACCTGTAACAAAAATATGAAAAATAAAATAACTATACCTACAGTTAATCAAACCAGGTTTTTATATTTTCCCCATGTAATTCAGTGAATATTGATGTGTCGTGGTGAAGGGTTGAGTTAAGGTTGGATAATTAACTTGAAAGTGGGTTAACTAACACGGTTGATATACATTTCTAGTTTTATATTCTCTTTTTCACACTTAAAGATACGACTTGCTTCTTTCTTACATTCTAAATACGTTCCGATTTTATTCTTCCTATGCAAGGTCATAAAGTCATGAACTTCTAGCTCTCTTTCTCCGACTTAGTGTTTTTTCATACGTTTCAATCAATCCAGTTTTTTTTTTTTTAGTTTACCAAAACTTCATCTGTAATTAATTTATGGCATCTTTTAATAGAAATCTTGAGTTTCTAAAGATCATTCCATCAATACCCATCATTTCATTATGATTACCCATCCTTCGTGTTCACTTATATTGTTTTAAAGAGTTTAGAGTTTTATATTCTTAAGCTTAGAAATAACGTGTCTGGCAATGCTAGTCTTCTAGATATATTAGGTTTTTTTAACTGTACTTCTATATTTACCAAATTATCATCTTAATCGTAATCAGTACCTTTCACAATTTGCACGTATCTAATAGAGCATTTAAATCTGATATCAATCAGAACATGGTCATGTTGTGACTTGTGATTATTATAAAGTACATGTACTGCAGCTGTTTACTTATTTTCTTCTTGGTTTCTAATAGTTCTTAGATGCTTGTTAAACAGTACCTACTCTAACTTTTCATATATTCGCTGTTATGTTCAATATAAAACTTATCACAATTTTCAAACTGATTTTTATAAACATCTGATATTTTCTGTTCACATATTTTATCCTTTTTTTCCCCTAAAATATCTTGTGTATTATTTTTCTTTAATAAAATGATTGTATTCCGTACACTTAGAAAAATATGTTTGACAATCTGCTTGTCATTTCTGGAAATGTAACATAGCTGATATTTTTGTCGTTTGTTCAAATTCTTATTTCAAGGGGCTTATTGTCCTGCTTTATTCAATTCTTTTGACCATTTGTGTTAATTGATAAATTTCAAAACAGGTTTGCATAGTTGCATAGTTTTGAAAATAGTTCGCAATAATATTTTTAATATTATACTCACCAAGTATAAAATCTATGTCTTTTTGCAAATTTTTCTGCATTCTTATAGAATCTAAATGTAAAAATAAAATACACTTGATGTACATATTTTCTTGTAATAGAAACCAATATTATACAATATGAATCTGTGCGAAGCATTATAAATCTGGAATTTGAAATATGTTAAGGTGATAATTAATTACTTTGTATTGTTTTTATACTGTCAGTATCTACATATTCTGAAATATAAAGTGAAATCTTTGTATACTTAATAATTATCAAACGGCTGTGTGGAAATATTTTTAAAAAATTCGATTAAAATGATTACCCGGTACAGTGATCATGCAATTCAATTCATCTGCAATAAACAATATATAAATTAATTATATTGGATTTTATTTTATTATAATATAAACCAAAAAAAAAATATATGTATTAGTAATTGGGAATATAGTGCTTGGCTCTATCATATTAAATAAGGTGGAAACTTTATGAAAATACAATAGCTGAATTAAAACTTATGGGGGAGCAGGCGATGATAAAATAAGATTTATATCACTCAACATTTGCCTTTAAGTTGAACTTTTATACGTTTTTTATACAAATACCTTCTGTTACCCAAGAATTTTTTAAAATTTTTTATTGTCATATAATTATTATTACCTATTGAATACCACCCTCCATAGACAATTCGTGTAATTGCATACTCCAATCCATCTAGAACAAACAAATAAAGGTTTATATTATAGAAAAATTTCAAATAAAATCATAATAGATACACAAATAATTAGAAAAAAATACACTATTCTTTAAGTGACTCCTCCTGTTGGGTTAAATAGTAAATTCCTAGAGTCAAGTGTGCGCATAGTAAAAAGAATTTATAAAACTAAATAAAGAAGTTTTTTTAGGGTGTGGAGAAATTTGAGATTAAAACGAAGAACAGTGTTATGCCCTTTACAAAACGGGAAGAAGGTTACCATTGATGATTAAAGAGTGACTGAGGGCATTAATACCCCCGGAGAGTAAAGAAATAATAGAGAAGGTGACTACCCGACTAACCAAGTTTACAATATTACTATAGCTGAAAAGCTAGGAGGATCCTTAAGAATCTGTCTGGACCCCTTGGAGCTAAATAAAGCGATCCAAAGATCTCATTATCAAATACCAACGTCTGATGAAATAATACCTAATTGAGAAGAGTGCATAATAGCACTTATTGTCCATTTAAATTATTTTTAGCATCTCAATTTCCATATGTATATATATTATTTTTTAATATTAATTACTAATTATTGTACACATGTGTGTATATGTGTATATCTTACTTCCATTTTCATTGTTATAGTTAGAAGCTTTCTCGATTTTTATGTCTGTAGTAAATGTTTTTAAAAATACATATGTAGAATAACAGTAAAATTTAAAAAATCATAATATTAGTCTGTTCGTTAAAAAAATTTACTTACTTGATTTAGAAACCATTTTTATACATATCCCTATAAAGAAATATACAATTTTACATAACTACCTTTTGTAAGAAAAATAAAAATAAAATAATTACCTAAAATGTCACTTTTTATATCTGCCAAAACTAATACCAAGAAAAATGTTGTTAAAACACAGAAAATTTTCATTTTTATCTGCAAATAATATTAAACATGAATGCAGTTTATATTAGTCTCAGGCGCTTCTGGAGTAAAGATGAGAAGGTTTTGGTTTTCCAATGATATATTTTATGTTTTTTGGCTAGAAATAACTTATATAGACCGATAAATATATATCTCTTATATCTATTTTATATATCTAATTCATATTTATAAGTTATTGCCGTCATAAAAAAGTAGGGTAACATTTTTTCCAACGAAACACAATATTATGCACACAATGATTAAATTAAAAATCAAATATGATATTTTATCACGGATCTTAAGATTTTATATAAGAAAATTTCGCTATAAAACAATCATAGACTGAGTATATTGCGATATTCACAGCAATGTTTATTTAAAAATCATTTATTTCAAAATTAGGAAAGGTGGAGAATAGAGATATTTTTTTCTGCGCGCATTACTCAACCGCACTTCCCCTCCCATCCTAACTTTTAAACATTAATAACTTTGAAACAAATTATCCAAAATTGAGTATCGAGCTGTCAAAATGTTCAGCAAATTATTTATATTTGATAGTTTAATCAAATATATCCGTTACCATTTTAAAACTTAAGTTCATACAATTTATAACGTATAAGGAATGGGCTTATATTTTTTAAAAATATATTTGATTTGTCCCAGCTAATAACTATAAATGTATAAATCAAAAAATTATTAAAAAAGTCTAATATCTTCTAAGTTATTGATTAGGCCATAATGTAATATAAATAAAAAGGGGAATAGAAAGGGAAAGGCGAAAAGGGAAGAAAGACTTAATAAGGCGTATTATTTGTTTTAATGATGGTTTATTAAGTATAGTTCTATGGCTTTAACTTCCAATTATGTACATATTATTATTGTTAATTATTTACTTACCTTGTCTTAGTTTTCTATTGAAGTCTAAGGGTTTAAGCTTTTTTGACTTACCATTAACGAATAAAATTACTTGTACATCGACTACCTTGATAACACAATCTGACTTATAATTAATGAATGTAATCAGGCACGCATTTTAGTCATTGTTTGTAAAGTAAGTGAAATAATATTTATCAATAATTTAGTTATTTTGTTAATTGAAATATTAAAGTATTGTTTCATTATTATTTTGTTTTGTTTTAATCAGAGTTTATCTAATTACTTTTTGTTGATGTAAAATAATTGAGGTAAATAAAATCAAAGAATATTGTAATTATTAATTAAAAAAAAATGGATAGTTAATTTGATTTGGATAATAACCAAAAGAATATTTCTAAAATTGTTATAACTTACGTGTATATTGTTTTTATATTTGTGAACATTTTAGACTTAGAATTTTGTGTGGTCATAGTCAAAAATATATATTTATTATTATTTCTGTTAGGTTTTTATATTTGTAAAAAAAAATGTTTAAGGTGCTTCGCCATGGCAAAGCCAAAAGTGTTGAATTGTAAATACTGGCTATGAAATTAGAGGTTTTATAATGAGATCGATTTTGATGACTTTTGGGTACTCATTTGACAAATGGATCGCGACAATGCAGCTGTTTCAGGGGCTGCGGCGATTGTAGGACTTGGGGAATTTTATTGTTGTGGTATGGTTTGACCACTACAATTTTGAAAAAGTTAAGTAGGTGAACCACTGCGGCGATGTGACTGATCAAAGGTCACGACAGAGTTACGAATTTTTACTACGGCGATGTGGCTGGCTGAAAACCACGATAGCTTTAAGGAAAAATATTTGAACACTAAGTCTGGTTGTAGTGTTTTAGAATTTCTACTGCGGCAATGTGGCTGATCGAAGACCACGACAGTATTGATAATGTTTTGGATGTGATGGATAAAATTAGTAGACAAGAGGTCGAAAGTATTACAATGTACAATATATGATTTATTATTATGGTCATTTCTTGTGCTGATTGTCCAGTATCAATCAAACTATTAAAATTATTTAAAAATTATTTGTAATATTTATTTATTATACAGAGTGTTTCACAATAGTTCGACAAATGAAATAACTTTTGTTCTAGTGAATATTTTTAAGATTTTTTTTTAAATTAATAATACTCGTTTACGCTATAAGCACCACGTTGTTGGATATTTACTTTTTATGTTACTAAAGGTTAAAGGGTAAGATGGGAGGTGGAGCACGGTAGAGAAATGCGTGCAGATAAAAATAGCTCCACGCTCTTACTCTACCGCACTCCACCTCCCATCCTACCCTTTAACTGACTGACTTTGACTGACTCGGTTTTTGATGCGCTTAAAGTAAAAAAAAAATCAAGTATATAACAGAATGGGAATGATAATTTGGAGGTGGTGTGATATTGGTTTTAAAAAAATAAATCTTAGTATGTAATTCATGACCGTTATAAAAAATTAAGATAATATATTTTACAATAGTACATAATATTGAGCAGAATAATGAATTAACTGAAAGTCTGATAAGCCCATATTTATAAATTATTTTAACATAATATTTATTGTCCATAATACCTACTTAAAATCTATTCAAAATAAAACATTGTACAAAGAAACTTGGATTTATAAGTTTATGATACAATATATAAAATATGAAGTTATATTTACACTATTTACATTACTTGAGGTTACTCCCACTTGGATGTCTTGACTAGTTCGCCAACGTTCGCCTCAAGTCATGTAAATAGTGTAAATATAATACCCCACTCAAGCTTCAATAATGAAGTTATATTTTATTCTTAAATTATATAATTTATAATTCGTCCATCTCTGATTGAAAGCCTACTTACAACCAGAGTTGTGCACCATTAAAATAAAACGTTATCTAAATAATCATATAGGTAACATATTATTATTAGTATTACTTACTTATGGACTTAATGTATAGTGAAACAGAACCAGTAAGTGAAATATTATCGAGGAACTAGATGCGAAGAAAATTTAAAATTAGAAAAAAACATATTGAAAGCGTACAAATTTACCATTTTGGAAGTTTGATAGTATTACTTACTTAAACAACCGCAATGATAATTGCCGAATGGGTTATATTATATCGACCGAAATAATAAAATCTACATATTTTTTTTAGAATTCTCTATACCCATTTATTGACACAGCTGACTGGAACGACGAAGACGAAGAAGCAACCTTAGTCATTTTTTGTTATGACTAACATATTTTCAATATTCCGAAGCGGAGTAAAATTTTTTATAAAAAATATTTGAATACTAAGGCCCAGCGCACACGGCGTGACTGTTTTGCGACTAAGGTTGCAAATGAGTTGAGCGCGCAACTGTTTTGTGACCTTGGCAGCAAAAAGCTGTAGGGATAACCGCACACGAGGCGATTGGAAAGGGAGTAGTTTGCAATCGGTTTCAAATCGGTTTCAATGCGATCGTTTTCTGCGGTCGCAGTTGCGTTGCGTCACAGTTGCACTGAAATTAGTAGGTTTTATTATTTTGGTTCCAAATCTTAAAATGATGAAAAAAAAAACATTTCGTTCTTCTTTATTTTTAAATATTTTTATACATGGATAATATATATATATATATACATTATACATATTATCCATGTTTTTTATAGTCCGCTGTGTTATTGATATATAGACAGACTACAGAAATCGTTCATTTTTCTCCTTTATAAAATTAAATTAAATTTTATGTTTAAAATAGTAATGTACAGACTACTGTACGATAAATTTAATAACGATGACACTCCTCTCCCTACCCTCTCCATAGGGATTGTTACAAGACAATACGCTGTGCGCTGTACGGTCCCTACGGCCACCAAGAAATATAATAACAAAATATTCACCTAACCACGCATTAAACGAATGTAACCTTATTATTTGTGTATACCTATTTGAATAGAAAATACCAACTGATCCGCAATCAGTCTTGCTCGTGTGCGGACAAAAGTTTCGTTTTAGTTGTAAACTAGTTGCGCGCTCAACTGATTTGCAACCTTAGTCGCAAAACAGTCGCGCCGTGTGCGCTGGGCCTAAGTCTATGTGGCTGATCGAAGACCACGACAGTATTGATAATGTTTTGGGTGTGATGGACAAAATTAGTAGACAAGAGGTCAATGTACAATATATGATATATTATTATGGTCATTTCTTGTGCTGATTGTCCAGTATGAATCAAATAATTAAAATTATTATTATATATATATCATTTTTGAAAATATGTCTCTTTTGTTAAAAATAAGTGAAAAATTTAAATTATGATTTTGCTAAATGGTAATAATTGTTAATTTTTTTGAAAAAATAGTTTGAAAAAAGATTTTAAGTGTTTTTAACTTTTTACGTGGTAAAAGCATTAGTTGGGCGTCATTTGTTACAGAAATGACAAAGAGAAAAGGGAAGAAAGACTTAATGAGGTTGTCAGTTATTTGTTTTAATGATGGCTTAATGAGTATAGTTCTATAACTTTTACTTCATATTACGTAGGTATTATATATTATTACTATTAATTATTCACTTACCTTGTCGTAGTTTTCTATTGATCTTCTGTGAGCATACAAATAAAACGATCTAAATAATCATCTAGGTAACAATATATTATTATTCAAGTAAACGTTATTCGAATAGTTTGTAAGTGCTTTTTTCAAGTAATTATACTTGAAAATATTATTATTTTTTTATAAATCCAATATATTTTACATTTAGAAAATATATAAAACCAGTTAATTTAGAGTCATTTTTTTATTCGAATAAATTGCAAAAAAAAATTATTTGATTAATTTTTTATTCGAATAATTATTCCAATTTTCACAAATGTGCTTACAACTTTTGAATTTTGATAGTATTACTTACTTATGGACTTGATGCGAAGTGAAACAGAACCAGTAATTGAAAACTAGAAAAAACACACTGAAAGCGTACAATTTTGGAAGTTTGATAGTATTACTTACTTAAACAACTGCAATGTAAATTCTCGAATGACTTATATTATATCAACCGGAACAACAAAATCTAAATATATTTTGCAGAACATTTTATGCCAATTTATTGACATAAGTAACATTAGTTAACACAACTGCCTGACACGACGAAAATGAAGAAGCAGGTGGCTTCTTTTTTACAATAATCTGAAGCGGAGTTAAAAAAGTTCACTAAGCTGTTATTGATTTTACAAATATCATAAGTTATGATCTTTAAAATATTAATATAAAAGACAATTTAGAGGCAATGAGGCATATTGGGCACGGGGAGTCTTATGTATGTATACTAGGGTGTACCAAGAAAAAATGTTTTTTATTTTTTTTCGTTCTTCTCTTGACATTATGTTCCTTGGGGTAAAATAATATTTCCCTATTTTTTTCAGATTTTTAAAATTATTTTTAGGGTTTGCGAGCATCAGTTTTCGAAAAAAAATTTTTTTTTTTAGTTTTTAATTTTTTTAAGGTATAAATATCAATTTTAAACAAATGTTGCTTGTATACAAAATCATCATTAGAAAAAGAGAAATAAGCCAATATTTTTTTTTTTTACAAAAAAAACTACTATCCAACTAATAGGCCTTAGAATGTAAAATTTGCGAAAACATTGATATATATATACCCTTAATAGTACCCTAAAATATTATTTTTAGGGGTATAAAATATTTTTAATTTATTCCTCATTTAGTTGCGAAGAATTCCGATGTAATTTATATAACACATTATTCCAACAATAGATCAGAAAAAAAATCAATTTAAAAAAAAAACAAATAACAAGTTTTGAATACTGTTACTTAACAATTTTTTTTCTTTTTAGTTCATAGTTTTTACAAGTAATTAAGAATAATGTGTTATGTTTTGTATATACAATTTATGTATTTCTATATAAAAATTTTTTTTTATTTTATAAAATAATATTGTTTTTTGTTAATTACTTAATTTTTACCTTGCTGACCTTTGGTCGGCTGTTCACCCATTGTATTACGTACAATTATTTTAAATACTACTTCAGTACTTGAAAACAAGCAGTGGCTATTGCCATTACATTGCACGTGACCAATTAATAATTAACTAGATTACTTAAAATAATAGCCGTATATAAAAAATAACCGTATTATTTTAATATTGTCATAATTATTATTAATAAAAGATAACACTTGCTGTATATTGAATTTCTGGGACAGTTTTATAACATTTACACATTGTAAACTAGTTACCTACTGAAACTTCCCAGAAGAGTACGCAAAATTAAAAATAAGAAGTGAATTTTACTTGCATAAAGTGGTTAGGCTAGGTACAACTTCAAGCGTTTTCGTATTATGTCTACAAAGAATCTAATTTCTTAACATACAAACTGAAAATAACAATCACACAAGATCATTCAAATTATATGGCTTTTATTAATTCTCTAAAATATTGATGATAATCTAACCATTTTTTATTAGCGAGAATGAATTTTTTCTAAAAAAAAGATTGAGCTGGCCTGTGGCCGGTCAGATTTTTGTAAAAGAAATTTAAAAAAAAATGTAATTAAGTAAAATTTCCCGGCCTTAATTAAGTTTTCACTTTTCCCCTGAACACATATGGATTTTACATGAAAACTTATACATATATATAGACTAAAGCTCAATATGATCTTCGAATGAGACTTCCTCTTCCCCGTCGTCATGTTCATCTTCTGTTACAGCATCGGCTTTATCATCATATTGTTTCTAAGCAAATAGTAATAGTAAGTTAAAATTATATTACACTATACTAAGACTAGACTTGAATGCATGCAATATAACTCAACAAAACAATATATTTTACGTATATAACATATTGTCTTTCCTTATATACTTAAACAGCTCACTTATATGAATATATACATAAAAAAGCAATAGATACTTACAACAGTGCTGAGTTCAAAAAACTCCCTCTCTGCTTCTTCGATTATTCTTGCTTCGGCTTCCGCCAACTGCACTTGTTTGTCTTTGACGGTGATAGTGTCTTTAGGCGCGGATTTTGTTTTTAATTTCAGCTCTCGAAGTTTGGCTTCGATGATTTTCTCACGTCTCGTTTCTCGATCAAACATCTATAATTAAATTTAACCACGAATAAATGCACGCATTTTTAAAAAATTATAATACTATATGTTATTTTAAAAAATAAGTGTACGATTAAAATACTAGTAATTACATCCTCTGATCATTAAAGCAGGGCGGAAAATTATCAGTTTGAAAACAACAGGAAAAGCAGACGAATACGACGCTATTGACCCGGGAGGAGCAAAAAGTACTTTTGTCAACAATCTACACTTACAGCAGTCAATAAGGCTTTATCGTTTTTCCCAGGTGTCACAAACCAATCGTTCATTTCAATCACATAAGTCTTACCGCAGTCGTCGCCGACGGCCAATAGCGCTCCGCCTTCGTGACATCTAATACAGTTCAAGCCTTCGTCAGACACCTATACAAATCGAGTGAACACATTGTTTTACTATAATTACCAAAATAATTGTTCTTTCTGACGCTATCCCTCACCTTAATTGTGAGTATGGAATCTTTCTGTTTCTGTAGAACATCCCAAGCGTCCAAACAACCGTCGGCCCGAGTCGTGTAGAACACCGATGGTTTAGTTTCACTCCAAGCGCCATCGGTCAGTCTCATTTCGTGACGCCTACAGTTGTTAAAAATATTTTAAATGATCATTTTTCTACGATTTATTATTTACTTTGACCACATAATTGGAGAGTCTTTGACGTCTTCTGACCACAATCGCACTTGCCAGTCACCGACTGTTAAAAAGTTTTTCAAGAACGTAGGATTTCGCTGAGCCGAGTAAACTGGACCAACGTGACAGTTATAGGTAGCCGAGATTTTTTCAAATACTGTTTTACCCTTACGGTTTCCGTTAAACACCTGACCGGTTTCAGTACCTATCTGGAAAATGGATTAGTTGAAATATGTATACAGCGATCAATTATTGCCCGGTGAAGGACAAACCGGATATAAGTCGCTAATATACAATATAACCAACACAATTGATAAATTATTCTGGTCAGTTACAAAACAAATAACAAAATAGTATGATCAAAAGTATATATTGCATTAAAAAAATATTATAAAACTAAGATGGAACTGGTTATTTTTTCCATTGAAGGAAAAACATTTAATCATGAATATGTCTTATGGTAACTACAACTTACAAGAAGAGTTTTTGTTCATTATCCTTATTTAATTCTTATCAACTGAATAGGTACCTTATTATTAATCTCCTTTCTTCTCCTCTCTCTTCTCTTCTCCACCGCTCTTACCACTCATCTCTTGGTTTTGACATTTCAGGTTAAGTTAGGTTTAGACAGTGGTGGATACAAGGGAGAGGGGGGCTAAGTTTTATGCATTAGAAGTGTATTTTTAGGTTTTATTTTTTTTTTATAATATAATATATTAGATTTTTTTTTCTTACTGTGTAAGCTTTAACACTATGACAATTGCTTATATGTAATTGAATTTTTTCCAGCCTTTCTCCCCTTTTTCATTCCTAGATCCACCTTCGAGTTCAGGTTAGCTGAGGTCAAACTCATGACGTAAATTTTCGACATATTTCGACTCTAGCCATAAGACATATTCATGTCAAAATCTTATCACACACCATAAATCGAATTGGAATTGCAGGGTCGTAATCCAAACAAGTCACGCCATGAGACCGCGCCCATTTCACCCACTCTGGATCATCTGTATTCTCGCTTTTCGACAGATCCAAAAACAGAACTTCTGTCGGTTCCGTTAGTTTCCTCGTGTCCCACCACATCACCTATGTGTAAACGTTAAAAATATCAACGTATTAACATTCAAAATGACATGCATCAAAGAATACAAATTCATCAAAAAATATAATAAATAATTTATAATTTACTCTAAAATAATGAAACGTAGCTTATTTTTTTCATCTTACTATTTCGTTCCAATTGATGCACGGTGGTTTACTTGAACTATTTGGCCATGTTATAAAAAAATAATAAAACTGTTTTCCGTCTTTACGTTGTATTCGACCCAATGACTAAGTGAAAACCCATAAAAAACATTTTCTCCATTTAACCATAAAATGTGTGAACTCCGTTAGTAATAATGTCATTATTACATTTTGTCTCAGTCAAATAACACCGTAAATACGTAGACGATAAACAAAATAAAGAAAGAAAAACAGAAATTAAAGGCCTACGTGGGAACTATAAGTTATTATCAGCTAAAGAACAAAGAGTAGAATTTGAGTTGACATTTTAGACCATTTCGACCAGCCCCTCTTTTTCACAAAATAATTCGTTCAATTTTTATTTGTTATTATAAGTACTTTATACCTAATTATTAGTTTTAATATTATGTAGTTTATTGATGAACATCTTTCTTCGTACTCTGCAAACGGAGATGGTTTGGGCATGTCATAAGAAAACAGGAATCGGAAGCAGAAAAAATGGTAAATGGGAATAAAAATAAACGTTGGAGGAACTTGTGGAAGAGGAAGGCCGAAAAAGAGAAATTATAGAACCGTGTAATCTCGACCAGGGGTTGTCGTACGACATAGAAACCCCTGGTCGAGAGAACACTGTTCCATAAATAGCATAAATAGCGGTAGGAAACAAGCGAGTAAGACAGTATAGTCACGCCAGCCGAACGGTGACTATCGCTTCCGAGTCCGAAACGTCAACATATAACTGAAGACAATAGATATAATACTATGTAAGATTATAAAACTGTGGCAAGAAACTCGTGGGCAGTTGTGAGCATTTCAAAAACTGAAATGACGCCACTGTCTAAAAGCCATCGCTTCTCGGCCTATTGGCTAAGATCATAGTGTATAAGTGCCATTGAGAGCTTCTGACTTTATGGCTTGTTTCAAATAATTAAACATAATAAATTACGTCAAGTTGTATAGTACTAATAGTAGCTATTACAGCTATTGACAACCAATGCCATTGACAACACCTCTGTAATGTAAGGCACTGAACTCGAACAATATTTCCAAACCACAAAGAAAGAATATTGAATTAAAAATCAAATACCTGACCGTCACTGGAGCCTGTATAAAATTCCGTACTGGTTTTGGAATTAATCCAATGCAGACTTCTGACTGGATCGCGGTGGCTGCTTTTAACGTTGCTGATGCCGACACTCGCTGAACCCTTGCGAATGTCCCAATAAGCGACCTGCCCACTTACAAGACCGCCAGCTAAGCACTGAGAGTCTCGGTTATTGAACTCGAGGGTAACGATTGGATGTTGCGATTCGATGGTGATAAAGGGCGTTGTCGAGTCCTCTACCAGATAAAACACGAATTAATTTAATTTAATTTAAATATGTTTATAGACAATATTATACGGGTAGTGCAATCAAATTGCAATAATTGTGTTTTACCCAAGTCAAATACTAGCGAATCGGGACTGCTAAGTGGGTCCGCCATTTGAAACTCCATGTTGGCGTAACTAATTGCTACTAACGAACCTTGATCGGGAGACCAAGATAAGTGCTGTACCGGTCTTGTTGGAGAAAAAGTATCGGACATGACGGCTACCGTCCGGAAAGATGGAGCTATTGTATGCATCTGCTGGCAGTCCGGGTCGATAAAATATGGTTCATATATGTCAATGGAGTTGTTTTGATTGATAAAGTGTTCGGTAAGCTATAAATTAAAAATTTACAAATCACATAGCCAATAATAATTAAAACTATTTGTTCATTAAGTAATTATTTTAGCTTCGGTTGTGGACTAGGAGGGTAATGTTTTTTACAATTATGTGTTCTTGTTAAATTTTTTATTTTTTGTGTCTAGACCCACGATTTATTCTAAAACGCTGAACCGATTTCTTCATGTACCTAGTCTATAGATCATAAATGGTAACTGAGAGGGTACTTTATTAGGCCGAAAATATAAAAAAATGTTATCTCTACCCCTTCAAAACCAAGAAAACCCCCCCTAAAAAGTACATATCTTTTAACTTAAAAATATGGCGCACTATAACTTTTTTTTTTTAAGTAGTATAATTAGTTTCAAACTTGTATGGACTATTGTCTTTAGTACTATCGATACACGATGACAAACCAAAACAATATATATCTATTTCCCCAGAAGGGATAAAAACTTTTTTTTTTTTAATTTTTCACGCGAATTTTTTAAACCTAATGTCTGAAAATAAGATTATAGCCTAAAGTTTAATCTTAAGTGAGGCTTAACATGTATTATTTTCTTTAAAATCTGAAGTCAATCTTTTTTTTAATTAAGAAAAACTACAAAAAAAAAGGAAATACCGTATCACTTTGACCGTAATACATTTTTAGCCTTCTAGGTTGCTACGTGTGAGTAAATCAACAGTCAACAAATATCCAAAAAGTACTTTTATTAAGTTCTAGATTTGCCTATTGGTAATTACGGCAATGAATTATTAGGAAAGGCCAAATAATCAACCCTGGACGTATCCACCCTTAAACTAATGGTACAATTTTAAACACATTTTTGCCTTTACAATGATATTTATCGACATTTAATACTTATAACGTCTACAGATTCGCACCGGAGCGTTTATTTGAAAGTGGTTTTATCACTTTCGGTTTTAATAAGTCCTAAAATTCTGTGACCTCCTCGATTTCAATAAGCTCCGTCCCCACTATGCCCCAACCCCATTGCGCTGGATTTGTTTTTATGTGCACATAAAAAAGATACGAGACTACTTTAATATTATATTTCTAATAACTTATTTCGTTTATTTTCTGTTACTATTTTATTATATTTAACTCTATATTTAATAAAACAACATTGAGGGCTGGAATTATGTCGATACGAGTAAATCGGTCTACTGGTCGCTGTCGACGGACAATGAAATTGACCATACAACCGAACACATACACTGACGGAATGCCAAGTTGTTCTATTTTCGATAAAAACAAAAAATACATGTGGTAACGCTTACGTTGGACATCTGCAACACGGCTTGCATGTACGAATCGTCCTTTTCGGCTTTTTTCCTAAACCTGACCACTTGTTCAGGATCGTCCATATTGACATCTTTGGGCCATCCGCCTTCCACGTGGTAAACACCGTGTTCAGCGTACTCTGCACGCACTGTGTTGATCTAAACCGGACGATCATCAACGAGTGTACACAATACCTTTTAATTGTTTAACAATTATATTGGTCAAATTTTTGTTTACATCGTGCAGTGACATATCGACGGCAATCAACGTGCTCCTATTACACGGGCTCTCCGGTATCCATTGGTCTTCCAGACGGGGTTGCGGTGTTAAATTCTCCAGCATTTTCGGACCCCAATTACTGAATTTACATTGTTTACCGTATTCTCGCCTACATTTGGCGTACGTGAAATTGGCGTGCATGTTGTATATTTTTATTTATAATCGGTCACAGTGCACAAACGGTGTGTGCACTAAAGACGACTTGCACGAACTAGCGAGACGTGCTCGTTTTTTTTCAACCCTTCTCGTCACCCGTAGAAACCGTAACTGTGAATCGATTAACTACCTTCTACCTTCGCTTGATACACAGGTAAATAGTAAAGCTTTATATGTTGAAATGAAACAGCAGTGGCGTGTCCAGAACAGCTATTGGCCCGGGTCTATGTTTCCCATAAGACATGATAGTTGAAACTAATAGTAAATGTCATATTGTAATCTGAGTAATATAGGTACATCGTTGCCAACAAATAAAATGTATTTGTGCATATTAAAGCTGTCGTAAACAAATCGACGTTTGGTTTACTTAGCCGGAAGACTAAATGTGTTTTCCTACTCCTGGCCTAGTAAATATCCCATCCCACTCCGTTCATTTGATCACGCGGCGCGGGTTTTTTGTTATTATATTTTTATATAATAATTTTTCGACTAAAACAAACAACGGGAACAGCTTCCTATTTGGTTAATACAGCCACAACTATAAAACGAAAACTGTAACACACGTATGGGACATCATCATAGAAAGGGGGAAACGCTGTCCCCGCCCCATTTTCGATTAGAAGAATGACTTAAAAATGTTGAGAAAAAAAATGACATTAATAAATATTTACTACTAAACCGACTTTGGCGAAATAAAAACTAAAATAATCTGTACATTTTCAGAAGTGTTCTTAGTTAGGTTACGTATAGCGGAAGTGCAAAACTATTATTATTATCTATTATTATTTATTATATTGTAATCATTGTATTAATTTAAAAGCCTTACCCTTACATTATTTTGGTTTCCACATTACAAATATTTATTCCCTCAAAGAGGCCATTTTAAATTTGGTCGTTAAGTCGGCAAATAAGCATTGTACTGTATAACTACTATGCGAAATGTTTTAAGAGAGAGCAACAGAATAGTTAAAATTAAGATCTGTAAAAATGAAAATTACAACGGGAATTTTTTCCCTTTCTAGGATGTAGGTCCTTATATATAAGATATAGTAGAGCTAACTCTAAAATATATTTAAAAAACTGCAATACAGAAACTCTATAAAAAAATATTTTGGCTTTAAAGTAGGCTGTCAAGGTATAAATTTTACATTGATGTGCTTTTATTTTAATATCACACAATTTATTTCTATTACATTTATTAAATACGTCGAAACAAACAAATCAAAAAACAGTTATTAAATTTTAGTTTTGCTATTGAAAATAAAATGTAAAATGCGGTATACCATAAGGGTTATAACACAATAAAATTACACATATACTGCATTTTAATAACATGTTTTAACTGGTTACAATTTCTATATGACAAAACAAAATTTTAATGTTATCTTATCTATTTTTCCGTTTTACTTAATTTACTCCTCTTCACTGGACGAACTCTTGTTAGGAATAGAAAATTTAACATTTTTCCTGTTAGTTGTGTAATGAAAACCAATATTTTCCGTATGGTTTATTATGAAATCAAAAGAAGAATGCAATCTGGCTAAATAAAATTCGTAGGTAATTTCACCTTCAGCGAGAGGTAGATGTCCATATTCATTCAGCAAGTCCTGTTGACTGATGGTATAGTGTGCTGGTTGACAGGTATCGCTCCAACGGAGCTCTAAGGACGCAGCAAAACGTTTGATTTCTTCGTAAAAATTGTTGGCATCTATTGCCGTAAGACCATTTTTCATAGCGGGTAGTGCTTCCTTAAGAAAATCATGAATCTGCAATATTGTACCGTAAAATGAATGAACGTCGATTATCCTTTTGTCAAAATTACTAATCTGTATATAAATGCGCGACAACTTGAACATAGTACGTGCACCTTTATTGAGACTCTCTTCAAGTTTTAGCCAACAATCTAAAGCGTGGAAATGTTGACCATCATTTGACAAATTACTGCACTCGATTATTGTCAACATCGTTGTCCAGAGACAGTCGATAATTTTTTTCCCGTAACCGCATTTCATTACTAAAAGAATTATTTTGAACTTGTAGACTTCCGCGACGATAGGAGCAGTCCATAACTCATTTTTCATCAGGTCCCTTTTGGTGGTCCCATTGATTATTACATTTTTTATCTTATTGAACCCCGTCATTTCGTCCCAATGTTGTGCTTGCCAAAGATAGTTGGCTTGACGCATCTTTTTCTCGCTTGTACATGTTTGTATGCATATTAAGAATAACGCAAACAATAGCTTCACAATTAAACGTTTTTCCATAGTAAAGAGTTTAGAACTTTAAATTTGTTGAGTACAAAAACAAATGCAACCTGCTTAATATATAGCAAAAACTAAAATGTGTTAGATATGTGTAGTTCACTCAATACTCCGCGCAAAAACCAACCGACATCTGCGCACATTATCTACCGCACTCCCATCCTAAACTTTTAAACTTAAATAACTTTAAAAGTAATGAGAAGAATTGGTTGTTGACCAGTCAACCTTTTCAGCAAATTATTCTGAATAAAATGGTTATCTTGAAAAAGAAATGTAACATAAATAATTAAAAAAAGTAAAACAGTTAAGTGCAATAAAAAATGTGGTGTTATAGCGCAAATGAGTATAAATTAATATAAACAAAAAAATCTAAAAAATATCCAAAGCACGAAAGTTATTTAATTTTGTCGAATCTTTGTGGGACACCGTGTATATCATAAGTCACTAAAAACATATTTTTCATCCAGTGACAAACTATTTTAAGCTATTAGAACACCTGTACACGTGTCTTTACTGTACTGAATTCGTTTTGTCGATTTCTAGTTATAATCAGTTTTTTAGCACGCAATTTATTTCAAGTATATTTAATTTAAAAAAAAATTTGTATTTAAATATTTAAAATTAAATACTTGCAAAATTTGAATTTTAATGATCACCAGCAAACAAATAATTTTACTATTTTTATTATTGTTTTTCCGTGCTTTTCAAAATAATTAATTAGTCTTGTTATCAATCACTAATGAAGAATAAATAATAATTAACAATAATTACATACTGGGTGATTCTATTAAGGCCCTACGTTAGTTTACTGGTAAAATAATTACAGTTTCAGTGTTGCGTTTAGGAAACATTTTTATTTGTTTTAGTAAAATATTAGACAATAGGTATTTTGTATCTCTTTCAGTATTTTCTAGAGCTTTATCAGCTTATACAACTTAAACGACAACATATAATATATTTAATTCGTTTTTTAATTTAAAAATAATTTACTGAAAAATTTTACTGGTCATAGCATAAGTTATTTAAGTTAAAACTAAGGACGGGAGGTGAAATGCGGTTGAGAAATGCGCGCAGATAAAAAAAACTCTACTCTCCACCCTTTCTGCAGTCTAAAATTGTAAACGTATATACCTTTAAAACTATTTATTCAAAACTAGTTATTGACCAATCAACATTTTCAGTAAAATATTCTTAATTTAAGAAGTTAATTAAATACAAGGTGATCAACTTATCGTGTACCACTCAATATCTCACTGGGTTTAATAAAAAAATTACATTTTTTCTTTATATAGTGTTATTTATTCCACAACTTGTAGCCATCAGAAAATAATAAATTTAAGAGAAGTTAGATATTTTGGATTTGTTATAGTTTGGAACCTTAGGTGAAATTATACATAATATTAAAAGTACAGCAGTGCGCTCGAATAAAGCCTCTGTAGGTTCAGCAAATTATAGCTTATTGCTTCGGATTAAGAAACTGTAATATTTATTTTGAATGTATGACTTTTGTTTTATTTTGTTTTTCTTTGTAATCACACAACAAGCTATGTTACACACGTATATTTATTTATATTGTTATTACATTATTATAAATTGTTTTTTAAATAAAATAAAAAAATTAATAGGTACGCTAGTGAGCGTTTTATATGTGTACCAATGCAATTTTGAACTAGACATTTCACAAATACTACAAATTACTAAATACTACTATTTTATATCCGGTTTAAGGGTCTTCTCTTTAAAAAAAAAACGCCGACGGAAAAAAAATGCAAATAAACTAATCGTTTAAATCACTTAAATTTCTTTATAATATGATAATATATTATATTAAATGTTTTGTATAATTTTTTAATTTGTATTTTTAACTAATTTTTTATTATATATATACTATACTAAATACCCCTGAACATAGGCAACGCAGTTGCAGTTTACAGTTCAGCAGATTGGCGCATTTTAGTAGTTCAGTACAATATATACCCCTTTGGTATAGGCAACCCAATATACAGTTCAGCAGTTCAGTAAATTAGACCTACCTAATCTACCTTACTGAACTGCTGAACTGTATGATGGGTTGCCTATATCCAGGGGGCATATGCACTGAACTACTGTGAAATGGGCCAATCTGCTGAACTGTGCACCGCAGTAAATGAGACCTTCCCGGTAAATATTATATTATTGATAGATATTTTTAAATAAAAAAATACTTTTGAAAATAATTTTTTGCGTCACTGCATGTTTTGGCACCTAATGGTGGGACTCGACCATCGATGTAATAACAATATTATTATTATTATCGTTATTAGTAGCCGTACACACATGTTATGTATGCAATATTATGGTCACACTCAACGATAGCGATTAGCGCGCGTCTGGCGTTTGATCTATTTTTCGACTCCATTATTATGCTACACAGGATGTTTTCAATGCTTTCATGTGCCGTATTTTGTACTTAGTGTGTGTTTAACGATCTAACAAACACATCACGCACAAACCGTACGCGGCGCGTCTTTGTTTCGAAACGAATAAAACAAAACCGATTGGCAACAAAACAGCTGCAGCAGTAATATTTTATTGTGTCGGCGGCCGTGTCAGCATTCGCGGTTACCAAGACGTCTTATCATTTCCGGACAACGGCTTTATGTGTTATCACGAGACGTGAAGACGACTTGAGCGTTTTGTCCTTATTGGGCCACAGCGGTTTTTTGCTTGTAATCGCGTGCGTTGCAATAATTTCGCATCCATATACGTTTTGGAGGACAGCCAACTATATAATTGTATTCTGGTCTGCGAGCGCGTTATAGGTCACAGCTACTACGGTACAGCATCACTATGTTATTACACACTATTATCTTTGGCTGCAGCCAGTAATAATTATTATTGTCAACCTCTTACAGGATCATTCGCTATGATATACAGCCGTCGACAACAGCCACAACACTCAGTCGTGGACGTCTCGTAGAGACTTGGTCTGTCCGCGGTTATCGTTTGAGACAATTATGAAACCAAGCTGCCGTTGCCGCCGCTTCTCACGGGACTTGTCCTCGTCGTTTGCCTGACACAACCGTACAAAATGATCCCGGGCGTCGTGTGCAAAGTCCTGACGTAAGTCGTTGTCTTGTCGTATTGGCAGTGGCGTATTTATGGGGAAGGTCCGTAGGTTCTGGTCTCACAGACCAAAAACCAAATAAATACAAGTATTCATATAAATAATAGTATTGTTTTTTTTATCATTTTATGGTTACCCAACAATTTGGATCGCCTTAAATTTTTTTTTTAAACTACGCCATTGCCTTTAGGTAATCGGGTTACAGGCCTTGCGGTATTCCAGCATTTTGAAAAAAATCATTGTATCAATCCCAAAAACTCAAAGACTTTCGAAATGTCAGTAGACCAACCGACCTGTATATCTGTGTGTGATATCTTCTACAAGAGTATTGCATTATTACGCAAATGTTTCAGTCCTCAATTTCAGAAATTTAGAGATATAATAAAATGCGTTTGCCATTTTTGCCCTAGGTTGCTATTCGGAGTCATGTACCCGGCCTACTCGTCATACAAGACCGTCAAGAACAAGCACGTCAAAAATTATGTAAGTAGCATTCGTAAAAGAACAACCATTCGATTTTTATTCCTATTGACTTAACCCGTAACTGGTACAGTGTGGGGTCATACACCACTTAACAATTTAAATCTTATGAAGCTTTTTATGACTGTTATGGGTTAAACTTCCTATGTTTATGTTTTGTCTAATTATTTATTGCATTGCTCTTGATACTAAAATTAATGTTAGTAAATAAAACTGGTACAACGGTTGAGACGCCTTAAATATTATGTGAATTCATTTTTTAAATACACATTAAATATACTTTATACATCTTGTATAAGACATTTGTAATCGTTGTTTTTTTATTTTTTTAGGTCAAGTGGATGATGTACTGGATCGTATTTGCCACATTCACGTGCATTGAAAGCCTGACAGACATATTTCTTGAGTTTTGGTGAGTGACAACCAACCTAACCAACACCCATTGCACTGGACAATGTTTAATATGTATTAAAAATAGGTGCTCATTCATTTGCTTTGTTAAAACTCGTCTTATTTTAGGTTTCCTTTTTATTACGACATCAAACTGATTGTGTTGCTGTGGTTAAGCTGTCCGTTCACCAAAGGTTCTACTATAGTGTACAAACAAATTGTGCACCCGACGCTTTTAAAAAAAGAGACTGTAAGTCTATAGTTATATTTCAATTTTACTGTGTGGGAGTGAAAACGCTGTTAGAAATAAATGCAATGGAGCATGAATTTTCATTTAATTTTTATCATACTTGTTCAGTCTCCAAGGCTCATTCCAATACACGTAACCTAGCTCCACCAGTCTTATGATAACCGTTTGTTATTTACTAGATAAAATAAAATGCTGATACAAAATTGAGAATTAATACTCAAAATTATAATATTAAAGTATAACAACAAAACTTGAATTACCACTATTGAAAAGTTTTTGATAAAATTAAAAACCCATTTTACCTACGGGTATGCTTTTACAAGTTTGATGTAAATTCCGAAAAAAAATTTGTTCTACCTTTGTTAATATTAAAGTATCAACTATTATTAAGAGTTTATTATTAATTATTTACATGTTATTATCATGATTATAACTTATTCATGATGTTTGTTCCAACAGGACATTGATGAGTTTTTGATAAGGTGTAAATCGCGCACATACAACGCTTTAACACAGACCGCTAAGCAGACGTTTCAAATGACTGCTGCCATAGTTATCCAGCACACCGCTGCCGTAAGTATGGTGTTTTCACTGACTTTACACTTGTAATTCAAGGGTTATTTAATAATACTGAAACTAAACTTACATTAAATACAAATTAAGGCAACATTTTCTGATTGAATCCATTGTTGTTGTCACTAACACGTATTTGAATTATTACTGTACATTATCAAACAAATTATAATCAATTACAGGTCGGCGGCTTGTTGCCTTATACGTTACTTCAGCAAGTGGCCAACAAACTGGATGTCGATTATACAGCGGCAGGGGCAGAGCCAGCCAACCGAGCAGTAAAAAAGAAAAAAGCTGTTGCCGCCGACGATCAGGATGTGTCGTCATCTGACGAGTGGTCAATAGCACAACGTCCAGCCACACCACCAGTAGTTGTTCAAAGACCCAAGCGCACTAAGACGAGCCAACAAAAACTCATTGCTGCAAACGTCACTAAACGTGCACTCGACTAGACCAATGAGAATCTCTAAAGACAATACTAATGACCATGAGGATTATCTCTGTTAAGTTATTTATAATTGGAAGTAATTATTATTGATAGATAATTATATCTCTAATTTTCTATACCTACCTACTATTCATCACACACAAGCATCACCTTTCCACGACCCCATACACACTTATTTATTTTGTCCATGTTTTCGATATGGGATATGGGTATTTATTCGAATGATAAATAACTTTTATTAGCCCAACAAAAAATATAAATCAGCTGCAGACTCGACTGAATTGTGGCGTCTCGTTTGTTTCCAAACTTGTATATTTTCAATAAAAATTTGTTGACTTTTGTCAAGTGATAATTTTCAATAACCTATCATTTTGTATAAATAATATTTCGTTTTCATTAAATTTAATTAAATATCATTATGAGTTGTGATAAAAAAAAAAAACCACGCTATCTTCTTTATACAATAATAATTATCGAGTATTTTTAATTTAAATATAGGTACGTTATCTTATTGCGAATGTATAATTTTTATTTTTTTTACTTGTAAAAAACTTTATACGAGTATTCGCTAGTCATTTTCATGCAACATTGTCATCAATAATGTGATCGGTCTACTTTCGCAAATAGATCGTACACTATTAAAATAATATAAGTAATGACAACGGTTGTTTCCTACCTAGATGGTGCTAATATTAACATAATATTTTCTTCTTATTTTTTTTTTTTTTGTTTATTTTTAATTTAAAAGTATACGTTATTTTATTTACATGTGTTTACTCGGACGAGTCGTCCAAAAATAAATGAAAAACTTAAATTACAATTTATTTTAATTTTTCTTCTCAACCGTATTTATCAGTATTTTAATTTAAAACTGTAATATTATTTTAGCAACAATAATAAGGTAGATTTTAATTGATATTTTGTGCAATTTGAACAGTTACAATGTTACACGCTATAATTTTCTTATAGTATAATATAGTTAAAATTTTGAGCTCGAAAAAAAATTATTATGTTAGTAGTAAATTTATTGAACTGTTATATTTTATTTTGTACAATATTACACTAGTCATGTTCATATCATGGGCACGCTCAAACACAATCCATGTACGTATTACAATGATACACTGATGTGCACACAAATAATTATTTTGGCAATATTATTAACACCGTTAGGTTAATAATAGTATAAAAATTACGATAATTATTGTATAATATCAGTTTGAGGAACCGACGAATTTGATGTATTTCTACTTACGAGCTTATGTTTATAAATAAATTTCAGTGTCAAATAAAATATATTGATATGTAAAAAAGAGATGTTAATTATTTATAAAATCTTGTATACAACAAATCATTTATAGAGAAGTCATTTGTTAATATTTTATCTGTCAAACTGATGATTGTCATATTATTTAAAAGCGATATTGTTACGTTGTTAAAATATGATATTGTATACAAAAATATATTGCATATTTAATGTACATCAACTGTTCTTGTTGTTTTACGAATAATTAATACTGACAATTGTCTTGTTTAAAATTAGGTGACAATTTTGCAGATTTAAAATCTAACTCCAGCCCCTTTTATAATCGGCATAGCAGTTGTAAATACTATCAACTAATAGTAATAAATAATTTATTACAAAATGGGACGATTTTAGAATCTCGTGGTATCCTCTTTGTGACTGTATAGAATTAATGAATTGAAGTAGTTTTTTAGAAAAAGTTTAGGAGTACAGTGATATTTTTTATTTACAGCAAAAATGTACCCCTTTCTTTGGGACAAAATCCAAGTAAAGCCATTTATTTTGGTTCAAATCTCCAATCTAAGCTTTAAATTTCTCTAGCACGTCTAGTTATTTTTAAGTCACTTACAAAAGGCTAAAAACTAAAAATCTTTATGAGGTCTTTTTACCAAGTTTTGTGTTTGTGATTAGAGATACATATTATTTTATTATGTTTTTTCACCTTATCATTAAGTACACTTATTGTGTGATAACTAATAAGGTTCGTCTCTAGCATAAATATAATAGACAAGTAAAACAAATTATCACACACATAGTACGTTTGAATAATTTTCAAAAATGTAATTTATGTATTCTAGTTAAAATAAAATCTAAAAAAAATAAAAACTGTTTTATTCTTTCTCTTGAATTCAGAATTATTGTAGATTTTATAGTTTTTTTTAACACAAAACAAAATTAGAAATTTCTGATTTTCGTTTTGTAAGTTGAAACTTTGGAGGCGATTTGGAGCCATTATAAATGTACAATACAAAAATCTAAGTCCAGATCAGAAAGGTCTAGGCATAAAAAGTCCAAAATAATAATAAATTTATTAATTAATTATAAATTTAAATAAAGTGTTATAATGTTCCATCAGTGAGATAATATGTAGGTAATCCTAAAATGTTGTCCTCTTTAAATTATCTATTAGCCAGGAGTTAAGGTATAAAAACTGGTTTTTAAATTGTAGACACTTTTTTTAAACTGTTTTTTTATTAAATACAAGCTGTCCGCCGTGTCCGGACCCGGCGTTGCCCGAGATTTAGTTTGGCTGAGTAAAAAAATTCCCATTCTCACCCCTATCCCTCATCTCTAATCAGATAACAGCGTGACCGCGTTTTTGTGACACTTTTTTCGGTTATTATGTCCTCTTCTTATTGCTCATGGGCCCCAGTCCCAGTTCCAGATCCCGTTCCAACAGTTAAAAGCTTGCCCAGAATCGTAGTACATAGAATCGACATGTTCCTTTAATCATCACCTACCATTCGCTCGAGTACCGTGTTTACCATGGTTACAAACAAAGGGTTTATTTTGGGTTAGCAATGAAAAATATTTCCTATTTAAAGTACAAAGTTCGTGTTTGAGGTCATCCTTAGGGGTGGAATTTTCGAAAAGTACTATGCCAGTCAGGTTTGTGATAGTGTACTCAACAACTTCCCAAAGTTTCATGGTGATCGGATGAATAGCGTACTAATGCATAAAGGACAGACAAACGACAGATATTCATTTATATATATATAAATATATATATTTATAAATAGATCTATAATATTAGTTAATTTGCTGTTAAAACGCGTGACTAACTCGAGTGGCAAACCGTCACTCATCCGATTTAGACGGTATGTACTTTGTACGTTTTGGTTCCATGTACAGCGACTTGAAGATAATTCCTTCGGCAGCGGTATCCTGCAGTAAGGCGCACGCCTTGACTTGTTTGACGAACGCTCTCTTGTATTCCTTTTTCAGCGACTTAATCCGGCTTTGACACACCACGTGACTGTAAATTATACAACAGTCTCAAAATAATAAACTCGGCACTCGGCGATTTGAGTAACAAAATAATAGAATACCTAAAAATTCCACTTTACTGAATCTGTCAACGGGCTAAACCCGCTTGTTATTTAGAAAATTAAATTTAATAGGTGTAATTTAAAATGAGTAATTTCTCAAATGATTTGGACCATCTAACAGATTGAAATCGTGAGATCCAATTTTAAAGGATTTCCTTCACACACGAGCGGATTTTTTGAGCGGTCAATTTGCCAAAACCCGGTAAAATTTTTAGATATTGTTTCCTAGGACATTATTTAAATACCCAACATAATTATTATGCTGCAGCTGCTATAGTAACGACGATTTGGCTTCAACGACTATGACGAGGAATTGCCTTCAGTGAAAAGACGGAAAGACACCCCAAAATAACAGTGTATATGGTTAATATTATTACTGTTACAGTACAACGTGGCTAAGTGAAAATTATTACTAAGAGATGCGCAGCTTCGAGTAACTGGGATTGTGACTTTGCATGATCTCTCTGGTCGTTCCATGGCTAGATGGTGTGTTTGGAAGTTTGTTGGCAAACCCGAATTGATTGTAATATGCCATTGTTGTGTTTCCGGGGTTATATTATGCACTATGGCCTATGGGTCGACTCTGTCGGCTACATGGACAGTATTATAACAGTATAAACATACTTGACCGACCGCAGTGGCAACGAGTCGGAATGAATAAACAATTAAACATTTCAAAATGTCTTTTTGGCCATTGTTTAATAAAATTATACAATATATACTCTGTTCGGAATAATAACAGAGTATAGTCAATATAATAATTATTATTTAATTCATTAGCGGACATTTTTGAGAGCGGTAGCCGGGAAGGTATGCTCAAAACACTAAAGTTTAAATTATGATCATGTCAAATACTCAAATGGGACATATGTATGAAAAAATAAATAAGTCTCTTGCAATTGAGGAATTTTGGAGAGCATTAACTTTAAGTTTTCGGGATTTCAGTAGCTCGTTTCTACAATTGCCTACACTTACCTATACCGAAGAACGTGACGTAGGTATTGACTAATGAGTAAAAAGAAAGTAGGAACTGTATACAATTGAGAGTATGACTTACTTTACTATTACTTACCAGTTACCATCTACCTATTATTACTTACACATATAACTTCTTAATAAGTATGGCTTATTAAAATGACTTACTCGATAAACAGGTTTCCAGCAATTATAATATATACTACATTTTAAAAATATACAAAACCAGTATATTATATAGGAAAACAATTATTTATTCGACTAAATTGTAAAATGATTATTCGAATACAAATTTGCACAACTCTGTCTATATTTTTTTTATTCATTAGGTCTTTTAATTAAAGAACAATTTTATTTTCATCTTATAAAATATAAAAATCACCCTAACTATTATATATAATAATATGCCATGCATATTTAATGTTTAATAAACATTAAACAGTCGTATGTAAGCTACAAACATGAAAAACGAAAATGTGACGAGCAATAAATTTGGCAGACGGTAATTTGACACTAGATGAAGGCACTCTCGCCCATAGACAGGCGGGCAACAAAATATCATAATATTCCCCTGTCCCTGTCCGATACGGGATATTCGTTGTTCCTGTCGTTTGGAGTCTATTCACGTCTAATTTCAACACGGTCCTAATCGCTATTATAATGTCTATTATGATTATAACGCTGAATATTACTTATACACCCAAGTCGCCTGAGGGTTGTAGCATAGATTAAATACATGTATTTAATCTATGGTTGTAGCCTAATAATTAACAATAAAAAATAATTATGTTTATTTCGGCGGACGTTAGAAGCGTCACTCACGCGCCTTCTATCGCGACGGGGTGTCCGGCGGTTGTTCGGCGCGACAATAAGACCATAAAACGTTCACCGTAAACGTCATACGACCTTTCTCCCCACCGCCATGGCCGTCGCGGGCGGCTACGGTAAACACCGCATTGTTGTCCGCCAACCAATATCACGCGTAGTACGCGGATTATACTGTATATACATTATACATATATATATATATATACACATTGTAGCCTTTAATAATATACATTATACACGATGAGTCATCGAGTGCTAAACATTTTCCCGCACCATGGCGGATATTATCATCGGTAGGTAGGTAATAGGTAGGTATCAGTTACACACTTACGCACAAACAGCGTATACGCTACATTGAACCACATATATACACACACACACACACACAAAAAAAACTGTGCAAATTTTTGCGTGCGTGTGTTGTTGTCATCGTCGTAATCACCACGTTCCGTGCTAACTGCAATAGCGTATTTTCAGTTTTTCATTGCCAAAAAAAAAAAAAAATTATACATAATATTTTACAATAATAATAATAACAATAAATAGTATAAACTAAAAAACGCTATTGTTCCGTTCGCTATTTATACGGTGTGTGTGTGTGTGTGTGTTCGCGCGTTCGTTCGTGTTGTAATTTTCTAGTCAATCACATATTTTGATAATTCGATCGCGGTGTACAGATGATCATCTATACTACTACAACAACAACAATAACAACAACAGAGACAACGAAGGGCGCGATGAACGATTCGTAGCCTCGACGACAATGGTCGAAGAACGGATGTATTTTCTCTAGTGAGTGTTACGCACAATTATTACTAAAAGGCGTTCCGTATACTTTACTTGTACTTATAATTAAAAATGGGTACCTATTTGGGTTTTTTTTTTGGTAGCGAGTGTTTTGACGATAATTGGCAAACGACCAGTGTTCGTGTACTGTTGGCTATGTTTTTCTCCTGATTTTTTACCGAATCCATCCACTTGAAAAATCATTGTCGGCGTTTTTTTTATGTTTATAAGTTTATAATTGTCCCAAGATAATCGTCCGTCGACGACAATAAATGTCTGAACTTATTTGAACTAGGTACCTAATTGTTTCATAATGGCAACAATATCAGATTGCAATGGTATCATAATTTCCGTTATCGGTTCCTGTCAATGCCACTCGATACTATCAGCAGTCGGTTGACTTCCAAAATATTATAACATATTTAGGTAGTACCTAATATACCTAAAAGTAAAAATGCTATGGTAGAGTAATGTGTTCTGTCTGATGGTAATACACTCTAAATGCATAGCGCCAGTACGCTTTGTGAGAGTCATTTTAGTTAGTCGACGGTTAATTTTTGTCGTAATATATTGCTATCTAACTTGACTACATTAGCCATCAGTGGACGATTTTTATAAATGATGTATAATGATATAAAATGATGTTCTAAAAAGTTTGGCGCTTGACAGTAGGTACTCTTGATTCAATAAGTCGTGTTTAAAATTGTACAGTTTGCGCTAATTTTGCGTAACTGTAAACGTTGATTCCTCGCTTAAAAAATGTATTTAAAATACATAGTTTATTTGAAATGTTTCATATCTGGGTATATGTCCCACATATTATTATGTCACTAATTTTTTTTGCTATATTTGCCATGATAATTTAATAAAATTGCTGTCAAAAAACCATTGATGGCCTCTTGACACGACAGATAATCAATAACTGTTGTCTATAGTATAATGTATAGTGATAACCATATTATTTTAAGGTTTGTTTTTAATGATAAATATCCATACAATCTATAATAGTTGAACGAGTACACTGACAATGTCATCTATATCTATAGATACACACTTGCATAGATTTCAGTTAGTCAATATATTATCTTTCCATTTAATATTAAATAGATCTCATATGTGTGATTGGAGGAGGGCGAAATACGTTTTATTAGTGGCGTGCAAAAATGGGAATCAATATGTATATAATCAAGTCTTAGGCTTTTATATCTATCATAATATCATATATTATAGAAATGTATTAATGTATATGTTTTGTTCTGTGTAGAACCATGTAATGTAAATTTTGCCTGTCAAATGTTTACGTCACAGCCGCAACAACTCCAACATGCCGATGTAAAATTGTCGCCACGACGCAACACGACCTCCACTGCTGCAGTATTGCCACCGCCTCCACCCGCAGTACCCATTGCTACTAAACCCAAACCCATAGCGGTGCCATCCAACAACATGTCTACAGTAAGCAACACCACATCAATGGTGACCACATCAATACTTACCGTAAGTACATACTTTTTGTAATAAACATATAAAAAAATATCTGATGTAATCTGGTTACCTGTTAGTAGGTTTATTTGAATATGTGTGTATAGAATATAGATAAATAAGTATCAACTAACAAACTAACAACACGATAGTCAATACATTATACAGACTAAATTATAAAAAAAATGTTCAGTATTCAAAAGCTGCAAAAAAAATTATGCGGAACTAACAATAAACTTTGAAAAAAAAAGACATATTGATCTCAAATATTGAAGCAAATTAAAAAATATAGACCAAAGAATAATTATTATCGATAACCTAGTGGCTTTCATTTCCATGCGTTCTGAAATAATTGAAACTTTTCAAGTAGTTAGACCTTCTTATCTTCAGATTTAAATAGGTTGTACGCATGATCTCTATTATGTGATTACATTATGGAATATTTTTTTATTGATATTACATTATGAGGTAATATTTATAAAAATTTTCATAATTATATTCATTATGTATCGTTGGATTTTTCGAAAAAATTGCCAAATGTTCTCACAACATCATTGTGACTGTTACCATTGGTATAACATTTCAAACATGAGACTGGTGGTTTGTTTTTGACGAGGTCAGTTAAAGCAACTAGAAACAGGTGTGACAATATATTACTGTCGTAATAATACTACCGTCTTGGCTGTGCTAAGAGTAACTACGAGAAACAGACTCGATAAAATTAATAAAATAACAATGTTGCTCGGTCACTTTGTGCACAAAGCTTAAGACGTTATGTACACTATAATGGTACGACATAATTTTGGTCCACCTAGAAAGTATAAAAATAATAATAATAATTGTTAATACTATTTATTGTACAAATAATAATTAGATATTTAGTTATCTGCGTGTGCTCACACTCAGCAGTTTTTACTGTGTGTTTTTAATGACAATTCTTGACGGAAAATAACTAGATCGATAATTGTAAGTACAGGCTAGATTGGGATGCTAGCAGACAGGATTGATCTATTGTGATATAATAATATACAATAATATGTTTTTAAATAACCAAAGTAGGGTAAAGTTATTGTTTTTTTTTTAGAACTTGTTGAGTGTGGTGATTAAAAAAAATAAGTAGTTAAATTAAAAGTAACCTTTTTAAAATGGTTTTTAATTTTTTACTCACTAAATATAATAGCTCTGTTCTCTAACTCTTATAATAATATTTACATACCTGAATTGTGCTATTGTCTGAAATCTTTTGGGTATACTCTCTTTAGAGTACACGTGCGAGTTACTTGTAATTAGTGCACAAAATAATATCATAAATCATATCTGCTAAATGACAGTACAACAAGTAAAGAATTGAATATCATAATGCCAAAAAAATAGAATATCTCATTAGGGAGTTTGTGCGTCGTTTAAGTTATTTTTTTGTTACTACTGTTAGTTTAATTTTTTTTTGTTACACTAGTTAATCACTGTCACTGTTATTTGGGTTCAAAGGGTGGACGCAGTTTACATTATAGATTTTTCATTTCTATCATTTGTGTGGTCTGATAAATAGTGTGGGTTCAACCAATAGTCGTCCATTGCAGTGTTATTTGTCTAGAATTAGAGTTAGTAGAAAAGTAATAATTTGTTGAACACAGTTTGTTTGAATCGTTTAAGCTATTTGTATATTAATTTGCACTAATACAAATATGGTGATTGTACAATATTTGTAAAAATATAACTATTTTTTTTATCTACGTCTCTTCTCATACAAATGGAGTCGGCCAGTGAAGTTTGTCGGTATGTTTATAATTTTTGTAATTTCAACAAGCGAAATAAGTAATAATAGGATATTTTTAGAGTAAATGAGTATACAGTTTACAATACCGCTAAAAAGAATCAATAAAATAACACATTTTCCTGCCGACTTGTGGTCCATCACAAAACAGGAAATTTTGCCTGAGCTCTCGCAAAGAGTACCACTTTAATTTTCTACACAATATAATCAATATGGTCTTATATTTATTTATTTACTTTTTAAAAATTTTTGGTGAAAAAACTTTGATTTGTATAATAATTATTGTTCATGAAGTTTGAATTAGTGTTTCCAAAGCAATGAAAACAATTTTAGGTATGATAATTTAGAAAGTTGAAAATTTAACAATAACTGCTAACTTTTTAATAATAATAACAATGTTATTGTTATTTTATTTTTTCAGAAATTTGTACACACTTCTTTATACTTTTAGTGTTTGGGTTTCAAATTTGTTATCATAGTAATGTTAAAATTTATTCACATTAATATGTTCAACTAAAACAACAATACATGCATAATAATGTACTTACTAAAAATAAATCAGTCAATTATTTTAAGATTGTGGTACGTCAGTTTTCTTCTTGTTTTAAGTTTATCAACCTTAAATCTTATGCTAACAATGTATTCAGAAAAGTTTAGTCAGTTGTTTAACAGTTAATTAATAATAACTGTGTGTGAATTCATCAAAATTAAATTTTATTCTGTAGCGAAAATAAATTTAAAAGTTGTTAAACATAATAATATGTTTTCTCTTTAAAAAAAAAAATTGTTTTAACTGCTGCAAAACGCAAATAGAACAAAAAAAAATGGCAGAGTTACCTCCAAACGCAACATACGAACCTTCAAAAATGTTTCTGTGTTTATCCTTCTTTATGTATAGGTACAACAAATTTTTATAAAAACGATTAATAGCTTGACTACAATAATTTGCAATATTTCTATGGTTTTTTTTATTTTAAGCTTCGATGCGTAGCTGAGAAGGTACTGTTTTTACAAAGATATATTTTAATTTTAATTTGTGTTTGGACCCACATTAACTTCTAAGCTACTAAACTGGTTTCTTTATGTAGCAAGTCCATAGATTACAAATTGTACATGAAGGGTACTTTACTGGTTTCGGTGGGCCAAATCAGCAGATGCTAATGTTTAACTTAAACATAAACAACAATATTATTAAAATTTGTATGAACTCTGTTCTTTACTAATTTTTTTATTTTTAAAAATAAATTTTCTTTTTTAGTGAAATTAAGTCACTTATTTATTTATATGTCATTACTATTATTCTGTGTTGTATATATGACTTGCAATGTACTATGTATATTTAGTCTAATTTTTTTTAATGAGTTATCGAAGCTAAGCATAAAAGCTTGTACTATTACTAGGTACTTTGTAGTTAGTGATTTCTGGCTTGTGTATAATTGTTTCATATTGTATGTATAATTGTGTCATCGTTTCGTTAGCTGTTGATTTACATACGCCATAATGGCATCTAGATCTAGTAGTAAATGAAATCATAGTGGTTGCCTATGCATCTTAGATCAGGGGCTAATAACATAATAAATTATTATAATATTTTAATAGACATATTACTTGATTATATGTATGATTTATTGTTTTATAATTGTTTACAATGTATTTAAAAAATAAATTTATAATTTGTACACTTTATACAATGTAGATAAATATTAATTATGTGAGAATATTAATATAAGGTAACTTAGGAGTAACGTTTGATATTTGCTATGCAGATTATAAAATCATTATTATTTTCTTACTTTTTATTTTTCATAATCTTGAAAAGTAGGTCATTATTATATATACTTTTTGTAAAATAATTTACACTTACATTTAATATCTTATCATTAAATAAGAATCTACAATTTATACAAGCTTTAGGATTCATTAGTATAATATAACGAGTAACTAATTCTATCATTTTACTTTTAATGTTACCCTTTTTTTCTATTAATAACTTATCTATATTATTAATAGACCAATAATCTTGCTTACAAAAATAATGGTACTTTTATATAGATAAAACATTAGTGTTTTTTTTAAATTTCAACTATTGGATTTGTCACGTGTAGAGATATTTATTGACACATTCTAAATGACATAATTTGAAAGAAGCCCAGCCAGCTACATACACAATAGCATTTTCTTTATGCAATTCCAATTGAATAAGTTTGGCATTCATCAAATATCGAATCCCTATTATATGTTGTTAACTTTTCTTCTAGACGTTTAAGTTTCATTTAAAATGTTTGGTTATTGCTAAGTATTTCATTACATTTATAAATTATTACCTATTAAGGGGATTCGATACCGACCGTTTTTAAGGAGTTTTGAATAGGCAATATTTAAGAAAAAAGTGGTTTTAATAAATTTCGACCATGTCAATTAATTTACCGGTTAATTTGTATAAGCTTCATGGTATTATTTTTAATTTAAATCATTTTGGCTATGAGTAAAAGCCATTTTAGTTAATATAATAGTACATTTTTTGTCCATCGCATAGGCCGAACCAGCGATCCGATTAGTAATCTAAAAACAGATTTGAATTCGTTATGAAATTTACTTGGGATCCTACGAAGTACTTTTTTGATATCTTTTTCTTACTATGAATAAAAAACGTTTAAACATTTTATAACATTTCAAATTTTTAAATCAAATTTGTAAAAGATTAAATTTCAAAATTGAAAAAAGTGCCTCGTAGGATCTCAAGTAAACTTCATGAAAAAATCAAATCTGTTTGCAAATTACTAATCGGAACACTAGTTCGGCCTGTGCGATGGACAAAACATGATGTGTTTTGACTGAAAAATACGGCCGGTATCAAACCCCTTAATTAAAAACTAATAACCGTAATTATAAACTATAAAAAAATAAATCTTAAATTAACATTTATAAATAAAATACCTTAACATTAAACCAAATACTATACAATAAATTCGAGTATTTGATTAAACTAACTAGGTTCTATTTATAAACACAACAAATAATAATATTACAATATTTATAGCTTTAATAAATTATAAATAATATAAATTGTAAAATTTCAAACGATGATTAATTTTTCTTGTTTAGTGTTATTTTAATAAAAAAAAAAATACTATACTAAAACATGCAGTTATAAAATATGTTTTGATATTTTTTCACCTTTTTTTAATGTTTGACTTCAAACTAACAAAGTATATGGTAAGCGCCTGATTATTTAGATATA